AAAACTCTTTGATTGATCTGAGTTAATTGTCTTGGACTGGATATGAATGATTCATATTTGTTTGAATATTACATTGATCACTCTATTGGATTGTGCTATATGGTGAACATAAGAGGAAATGGTTGGATATATTAATAATATAATCCAATAGTATGTTCACATATAAGCCCAATAGGTGAAAGCATGGTTATTTGGGTCCATATGGGCTGGAGCCAAATAGCTTGCATTATCTCTAAGGTTTTCTAAGCTGGAGGTAATACTGTTGAGCATTCCAAACTTGATGTCTCTTGGTGTAATACTTCAAGCACCTCAAAACACTTCTCTCTCAAACTTATAACCTCCGACAATAAAAGGGGTCACCAAGCCCCCACTTGTGTCTTTTTTTATTTGTCATGATTCTTCCAAGCGCTACAATTACAATCCATAAAAAACAACATACCCTCTCAGGTCCATTAATTCTCCGAGTGGAATTGCTAGAATTAACGGCTTACATACCTGTCAAATTGTTAATCAACATAGCTTGTAATTATGTGAACTTATCATGGTTGGAGAATATATATATATATATATATATATATATATATATATATATATATATATATATATATATATATGGGTTATTTTTTATCATGTTGCAAGAATTTGAAATTCTCCTACAAATTATGTACTCTGGGTAGTACATAGTTATAATATAATTAAAAAACAACTTTTATTATTATAACATGTACTCATTGGAGTACATAGTTATAAGGGGTATGCAAAAAAAAGTTAATATTATAACTATGTATACCTCGAAGTATATAATTTTCTGGAGAACTTCAAATTCCTGCAATATAAGGGCCTATTATATATATATGTGTGTGTGTGTGTGTGTGTGTGTGTCCATCTGGTGTCCAGTCACAGGATATAAGGTTTTGTCCAGTCGCTCCCTTATAACTATGTACTCTAGGGATTACATAGTTATAATATTAAAGTTGTTTTTTTTCTCTCTTTCCATGTCAGCCGACAAGTTCATGAAAAATTTATGAAAAGAGAAAAAAATACTTTAATATTATAACTATGTACTTCTCAGAGTACATAGTTATAAGAGATGATAGAACAAAACCTTATATCTTGTCACAAGATACACTAAACCCTATATATATATATATATAGGCTTATCGTTTCTCAAGTTGCTTGAGACAATTTTATTTCTGGCTACTAAACCATAACCGTACAAAGATGGATCAATGGTAATAAAGGAAGAGAGAGAAAAGGGGAATTATAACCGACGTAGGTTTTGAGAGGAGGGAGATAAATATATCTCAAGCTGCTAGAGAAATATTTTTCTCGTATATATATATATATATATATATATATATATATATATATATATATATATTTATATATATAGGGGTTTACATTTCTGCAGCTATTGTACGTGCAGTAATCAAATATTTGCCATATATATACTTGAAAGCATTAAATGCGGGAAGTCATAATCATACAAAGGATTAAAGCATTGAATGGGGGGAATCATAATCATACACTTGTCGTTGCTGTACGTAAAGCGGCTGCAGAAATGATTTTACCATATAAGTATATATATATAGGGGACAAAATCTTTTAACCCCGAATCTTAACCGTTGATTTTCGTAAATCTAACGGTTATAATTTATTGGAAATTACTAATTAATTAATAAATTTGACCTAATAAATTATAATTGTCATGACGGAAATTGTAACACCCTGTGTATACCCGAATTGTTATCATATTACCGTATTAAGCGCAGCTCAATTAAATGCGGAAGCTAACTTTTTTTTTTTTAATTATGACGACATTATTATTAACCAAGTGGTTTACTTAATTCATTTTTAAAACATTGTCTGTATGTAAATTGCAACAGAAGACTAACTGAATAACCTCATTTAATAACTGCGTATCTACTCACGGAACTACAACATGTAGACCGAACAATATCCTGATTTATTATACAACACAATTCTAAATAACCAAAGCATAATCAATGTGGCATGGACAACCCCCATGCTCACCAAATAAGGCAACAAAGCCCAACAAAGTCTCAACTCAAATAACCACATAATGACAAAACAGCAAGTCAACATCCAGGCATAAGAGTATAAACAGCATGCATATCAACTCAGCTCCGGCCTCCTGCCGCCAGAGGTCTCAACCTCTGAGGTACCTGTACCTGAAATGTGCCCCAACACGGGGTGGGATCTCTAAAAAAAATCTCAGTAAGACAAGGGGTCCTCAAGGATCTCTCCACCCTAAGCTCACTTACATGTGAAATATAAGTTCAAAAATAGTATAACAGTATAAGTTCCAAATCTGTGCAATGCAACATATAATCATGTCATGTGTGTCAGAATCCTACTAGCCAGAGAATAAACATGTAGGAGTTACATACGTCTACAACCTACAGTGCAAGACGCTACTTACACCCCACCCACAGAATCACCATCTTGTTTTACGCTACATACTCACGCTCACCGTCTAGGTGGAACAGCACATACATATCATAAGGCACTTGCACTTAACAGCTCAATAGCATTTCAAATATTATTACATGAAAACACATCATGCATATAAATCATCCCTCCATGAGGTATGGTGGAACCAACAATGGCAAAACCGAGTACACGAAAGCTTACCTCGCAAGCTAATAATCCCACTCAAGAGTCTACACCAGTCCAAGGTCCACAAACAGCACCCTCACGGTCTGTTTATAACAGAAATAATCCTTATTATTCGTAGCCCATGGTTTCACTAAGTGATTAAGACTTTTCAACTTGTTTTAAGTGAGTTAAGGCTTATTCTGCAGGAGGTATTCGAATACTCCTCGATGAGTATCCGAATACTCCATGTCTCCAGAAAGTATCCTAATACTTTCACTAAGGTATTCGAATACCACATGGTATCTGAATACTTTCACTACAGTATTCGAATACTACATTAAGGTATCCGAATACTTTTCTTCCCAGAAAAGTATCCCCATACTCCTTCAAGAGTATTCGACTACCACTTGATAAGTATTCGAATACTCCACGAAAAGTATTCGAATACTTATTAGACAGAATGCAGAATTTCGTGCATTCCCAGCATAAGTCCCATTTTAATGGCCTTATCACGAATTGGAGTCCAATGACTCCCAAAACAGATGTTCATTACTATCTTTTAGACATAGTTTATCACCATTTAACTTATATAATCAAAGTTTCCTCTTTTAATGGCTTAATAAAGCTAAAACCATGAATAATCAAAAGAGGTGATCATGGTTTACCTCAAGCTTCACAAACTCAGAAAACGACACTGCCTTGGAGCTTCCAAATCAGTCCCAAGGTTCTGACTTTCAAGGACCACAAAAATGCACCTCAAGTTTGTTCTTTTACACTTAAAAATGGCTTCTTGAAGCCACAATGTCAAGACAATGGCTCCCTCAACAAAGCTCAACAACTCAGCCCCTAAACCACCACTAATCACAGGCCATAACTCAGCAAACAAGGACATTTCTCCCACACAAGACTTGTTCTCACACAACTATGCTAATTTGGTGAAGGGAGTGCGAAGAAAGATGATCACTTGGAGGTCTCAAGGGAGAAGAAATCCATGAAATGGTGAAGAAGAAGAGTGGCAGCAGCTGAGTCTCAGCCAACTCACGTAGGAGGCAATAGAAATTAACCTAGGTCTTTGTGCCACCATCTATATATAGTCTCATTAAGTTTTAAGCATCGGTATTAGTGCTAATAGTTTCACTAATCATTTTAATCTCAAACTTAAGATTCTGAACCTAGCCATTTTTCTAGGATTTTTTATATTTTAATTTTAATTTTCGCAGCACTTTGCCGGTACGCATTTTTACGCTGCCGCTATCAGTCCTGACGTCAGTTCTCATTATTTTGGTTTCAAACTTGACATACTAGTCCTAGATATTATTCTAGGAATATATACATACTCTTTATAATTTTTCGGGATACTTCATCGGTACGCACTTATACCGTGAAGCAGAACCGGTATCTGCACTTTTCGTCAAAAAAGTGACTTTCAACATTATTAAGCCCTTATATTAATTATTTCAGTCCTCAAATAATTATTCTACGTCAATTATGGAATTATCTCTTAATCTCATATTTAATTTAATCAATTTCCTAAATTAACGGTGCGGGTTCTTACAGAAATCAACAGTTATGATTTGGTGTCAAATGATTCTATCTCGTATAATTAATCATGTGGTAATAGTTGTCTTCTATAAAATAGCATTGGCAAGAGGAATTGACTCAGGAACGTCCCCTCCAACATATTTAAGGTTATCAGTTCCTTGCAAATTAGGAACAACATGTGGAAGATAAAATATGGTGCAAGCAAGAGGTGGGAATGACTTTGCAATCGTCTTTGCCATAGTCTCACTTTCTTTGCAATTACCAACATGTGAAAGATCAAATGCATGGAACTGTTGATATATCTTTAGTTAGTTACTCGGCCCATTAGTTTAGTCAGTTGGCCCACTAGGCTTAATTCTATTAATTAGTTAGCTTAGCGTGAGGTTATATATATGTGTATAAATAACTGTCTTGGTTAATTAATTCAACTTCCATCTTTCACTGATATGAATAACTCTCTTCTTTCTTTATACCGTAATATGGTATCAGAGCTCTGCATGGAGCTCTCATATTCGCCTCCACCTTTCGTTTTAGATCTCACTCCTCGAATCGACCTCAGATCTCAGTTCCTAAGTTGTTCTTTTTTGATTTCTTCTGAATTTCAAGTATTGATACTATGGTGAATCATAGCTCTACTTCCTCAGATTCGCTCGTTGAATCTGATGTTCATCAAAATAGTGAATCGGAATCACCTAAAAGGCTAGAAAATTTTAGAAAACAGAAGATTTTCCGATCCAGGTAATCCATATTTTCTTCGTCCAAATGAAAATCCCTCACTCGTTTTGGTTTCGACACTTATGAATGGAAAGAATTACCATGGCTGGGATAGAGCTATGACCATGGATTTTGTGTCAAAGAACAAAATGTCATTTGTGAATGGCACAATTCCAGTACTAGATGAATCGGATCAAAGGTATGCAGCCTGGGAGAGGTGCAATACCATGGTGCTCTGGTGGTTGCATCGTTCAATCACAAGCTCTATTTCACAATCCATATTGTGGATGGACTGTGCCTCTGATGTGTGGAAAGACCTTAAGGAAAGGTTTTCGCAGTCAGATATATTCAGAATCTCTGATCTACAAGATGAGATTTACAAGCTTTATCAAGGAGAAAGCTCTGTTTCTAACTTTTATACCCATCTCAAAATTCTATAGGATGAGATGGAATAACTGCAACCTACTCCAACCTGCAAATGCATTCGCCCATGCTGTGGAGTTTCAGTTAAAATAAAGAAGGTTCTTGATAGAGACTACTCAATACGATTCCTCAAGGGTCTCAATGAGCAGTTCTCTAATCTGAGGTCCCAAATCATGCTGATGGATCCACTTCCCTCCATCAATCGTGTGTTCTCTCTCATTGTTCAACAGGAAAGGCAACTCCAATTGGAAGGAAATGTTCCTAACGTTGAATCTCCCAAAGTATTTTTTAATTTCGTGGAGAAGTCTCATAGTGGAAGGGGACGCTCTCAGTTTCATGGCAGAGGAATGAGCACCTATAATGGAAGGGGAAGATCCAACAGATCGAGGTTATGTACCTATTGTGGGAAAACTAGTCACACTGTGGACACTTGCTTTGAGAAGCATGGGTATCCACCTGGATACAAGCAAAGGTATCCTAAGCAAGCCAATGCAGTCTTAAATGAAATATTTCATAATGAAGTCAACACTGCACATGCCGGTGCTGCACATGCTGATGTGAAAGAAAATTTCACTAGAGATCAGTATCAAGCCATAATGGAGATGATACAACATTCAATGCATAAGCAATCAAATCATCATGTCACTCAGTCTACACCTCACATGCTAGCAACCTGGTTCGGACAAAAGCAATGAATGCAGATACCTTTGGTAATTCTTCATCAGGTAATACAAAGGTATAGTGGATCCTTGATACAGGGGCCACTGGTCACATTAGTTTTTGTCTTGGGAATATAACTTCAATTAGGAGAATTGAACCAATTGCTATTTGCATGCCTGATGGTACGCGAGTACTATCCTATATCTCTGGAACAATTGTAATTTCCAATTCCCTTGTTTTGACCAATGTGTTGTATGTTGAGCAATTTACAGTAAACCTCATATCACTTAGCAAGTTGGCATATGAATCTAACTGCCAATTGATTTTTCAGCATCAAATCTGATAAATTCAGCAACTTCCTTCCATGAAGATGATTGGTTCTGCTAGATGTAACATCTCGAGCACTGACGAGGGTGGGGGTTTACACGCATGAATGAATCGAATCGACACCCGAAAGATAGGGATTCCAAAGACTGTGCAGATATAAGACTGCACAGTTTGGGATAGCTTATAATAATTAATTGGTACTACCTATACTAACAAGATGCATCTGCTTTTCGGTAGCCCGGATCGGAGGAACTCCACAGTTAAGCGTGCTTGACTTGGAGCAATTTTGGGATGGGTGACCTCCTGGGAAGTTTTCCCGGGAAGTGTGCGAGTGAGGAAAAAGCACACTGAAAAGTCTCGTATTAGTATGTGGGAATAGTCATTGATTCTTGAAGCGGTCGGACGTTACAAGTGGTATCAGAGCAGGGCCTCTCATCCAGTACGGTGTGGTTCGAGGACGAACTAGGCGGAAGCTGGTGGGCATGTAACATCCCGAGCGCTGACGAGGACGGGGAGTGATTGTCGGTGCAAAGAAGCACGTACAAGGAGCGGCTCCTGACAGGCTTCCAACGGGGGGTTACATGCATGAATGAATTGAATCGACACCCGAAAAAGAGGGATTCCGAAGACTGTGCAGATATAAGACTGTACAGTTTGGGATAGCTTATAAGAATTAATTGGTACTACCTATACTAACAATATGCATCTGCTTTTCGGTAGCCCGGATCGGAAGATCTCCACAGTTAAGCGCTCTTGACTTAGAGCAATTCTGGGATGGGTGACCTCCTGGGAAGTTTTCCCGGGAAGTGTGCGAGTGAGGAAAAAGCACACTGAAAAGTCTCGTGTCAGTATGTGGGGATAGTCTTTGATTCTAGAAGCGGTCGGGCGTTACACTAGACTTCAAGGAGGCTTATACATCATCAACCAAACTATACATAGTAAAGACAGTACAGCTATGGAAAGCAATCAGGAGATAGATTTACAATTTGCAAATAAAAAGAGTCTGTTACTTGAGACTCATGCCACTTGTAACACCCCGTGTATACCCGGTTTGTTAACATGTCATCGTATTAGGCCACGCTTAATTAAAAATGCGGAATAACTTTTTCTTTTCAATTATGACGTCATTATCAATTACCAAGTTGATTACTTAAATCACTTTCAAAATATTGCCTCTATGTGATTGCAATTAGACAACTATCTACACTGAATAATCTCATGATATAAATATGTGAGTATCTAAGTCACAGATCTACAACACGTAGTCCGGACATAATCCTGATACATTAATACATCTTGAAACTAAAACAAGACATAGTCAATCAATGTGGCATGGACAACCCCCATGCTCACCAAATAAGGCAACAAGGCCCAAAAGAGTCTCAAATCAAATAACAGGATAATAACAGTAACACATATCAGCACCCAAACATAATCCAAGCATAATCATCATAAGCAGCATATATCTAACTCAGCTTCGGCCTCCTGCGGCCCAGGGTCTCAACCCCCGAGTTACTTGAACCTGAAATATGTGCCCCAAACATGGGGTGAGATCTCTAAACAAAAATCTCAGTAAGACAATGGGTCCTCAAGGATTTCTCCACCCAAGCTCACTTACATGTGCAATATAAGTTCTAAAAGCAATATACAATATCAGTTCCAAAATCAGTGCAATGCAACAGATAATCATGTCATGTGTGTCAACTATTCTACTGGCCAGAGAAATGCAGGACTTAAATACATCTATTGCCTATATCAGTGCAAGACGCCACTTGCACCCACCCACAGAATCACTGTATTGTATGACGCCAGATACTCAGGCTTACCGTCTAGATGGAACAACACATGCATATTATAAGGCCCTTACACTTAACAGCTCAAAAGCATTTCAATCATCAAAACATGAAAACACATCATGCATAAAATCATTCCCCCATGGGGCATAGTGAAACAAACAATGGCTTAACCGAGGACACGAAAGCTTACCTCGCAAGCTAACTATCCAAGCCAAGCTCACACTAGCTCAATGCCCACAAACAGCACAATCAATCTGTTTATACAATAAATAATCATCAATAATCATTGCTCAAGACTCCATTAAGTAATTAAGGCCTTCTAACTTATTTTAAGTCATTTCACGCTGTTTCTGTAGGAGGTATTCGAATACTCCTCGATGAGTATTCGAATACTCCCTGTCTCCAGAAAGTATTCGACTACTTTCACTAAAGTATTTGCATACCGTAAGGTATCCGAATACTTTTCCCCTCAGTATCCGAATACCACAAGGTATCTGAATACCACAAGGTATCCGAATACCACAAGGTATCCGAATACAAAAGCCACAGTATTCGAATACTACCCAGTATTCAAATACTTACTCAAAGGTATCTGAATACTTTTCTTCCCAGAAAAGTATCCCAATACTCCTGCAAGGAATATTCGACTACCAAGGGATAAGTATTCGAATACTACACGAAAAGTATTCGAATACTTATCAGACAGAATGCAGAAACTCGAGCATTCTTATGCATAATTCCATTTTTAAGGGTCCAAACTCGATTTGGAGTCCAATGACTCCATAAACAGATGTTCATTGACATGTTTAGGACTCAGAAACACAGTCCTTAACTCAAATGATCCAAGTTTTACTTTTTAATGGATTAAACAAGCTTAAATCATGAAAATGACAAAAAAGTGATCATGTTATACCTCAAGCTCCAAAAACTCTGAAAATGACACTGACTTGGAGCCTCCAACACAGCTCTAAGGTGCTGACTTTAAAGAACCACAAAATGCACTAAAAGCTTGGACCTTTCATCATCAAAATGGCTTCATGAAGCCTTCAATGGTATGAACAAGGCTCTCACCAAAAGAACCCACCAACTCAGTCCCAAAACCACCTCAAGACAGTATCTCCCACTTAGAAATGCTTCCTAACTCCCTCACAATGCTCACTAACTTAGTGTTTACAACTACAATGAGGAAGACTCGCAACAAAGATGGTTTCTTGGTCCCTTTTCATGAGCAAAGGCCAAGAATTTTAAGAGGAGAAGAGAAAATGGCTGGAGAGAATCAGCCACCAAAACTCACGTAGAGGCTGAATATGGCCTAGGGTTTTGTGCCCTTAGGCTTATATAGGTCCATTTAATTAATCACACAATATTAATAATAATAGCTACGCTTAGCATTTTATTCTAAAACTTTAGATTCTGACCCTAGCCAATTTTCTAAGATTTGTCATACTTTTATTTTATTTTTCAAAGTACTTTTTCAGTACGCGCTTTTACTTAGCCAGTATTAGTTCTGGCACCAGTTCTCATTATTTTGACTTGAAACTTGTTATGCTAGTCCTATATATTATTCTAGTGACATATACATACTATTCATAATTTTCCGGGATACTTCATCGATACGCATTTATACCGTGGAGCAGAACCGGTATCTGCACTTTTCGTCCGAAAAGCAACTTTCAACATTATTAATTACTTACCATAATTATTTAAGCCTTCTCATAATGATTGGGGTCAATTATGGAATTATCTCATAAATTCACATTTACTTCCTTTAATTTCCTAAATTAACGGTGCGGGTTCTTACATTCACCCCACCTTTTAAGGATTTTGTCCTCAAAATCAGAAACATACGTGTCTCGAAACTCGGGATACTGCCGGAGAAGCTCGTCCTCTCGCTCCCAGGTACACTCCTCAGGAGTTCTTCCAGTCCACTGCACCTTGACCATCGGAATGATCTTGCACCTCAGCTTCTTCTCGCCGTGATCGAGAATCTTGAGTGGTCCGACGAGAGTTATCAAGTTCTCCCAAACTTCCACATCATCCGGTTGCACCACGTGCGAAGGATCTGTTATGTACTCTTGAAGCTGTGAACGTGAAATACGTCGTGGATGTTGGCCAAGTTCGGAGGCAAGGCAAGCCGGTAGGCAACAGGTCCTACTCTACCAAGGATCTGGTAGGGCCCTATGAATCTCAGGCTCAACTTCCTCACTCCGAGAGCCCGACCAACCCCGATGACAGGTGAAAGTCTCACAAACACGTGCTCACCCTCACTGAACTCTAGTGGACGATGCTTAACATCGTAGTAACTCTTCTGGCGATTCTGCGCCTGCTTCAGCTTTTCCCTAATCATCTGAATCTACAGGGTAGTATCTTGGACAAAGTCCAAGTTAAACAACTATTTATCTCCAACCTCCGACAAACAGGAGTCCGACACCTCCTACCATACAACACCTCGTAGGGTGCCATGCCCAGGCTAGCATGAAAACTGTTGTTGTACGAAAACTCAACCAATGGCAGGTACCTATCGCATGCTGAACCCTGCTCCAAAGTGCAAGCCCTCAACATGTCCTCCAATGTCTGGATGGTCCGCTCAGTCTGTCCGTTAGTCTGAGGGTGATAGGCTGTACTCAGTCTCAACTGCGTACCAAAAGCTCCCTGCAATGCCTCCCAGAACCGAGATGTGAACTTTGGGTCCCTATCACTGATGATACTCTTGGGCACCCCGTGAAGCCTCATGATCTCGCGAATATAAAGTCTGGCCAACTGCTCAGTAGTGAAGCTCACCTTCACCGGAAGATAGTGGGCAGACTTTGTCAATCTGTCCACAATGACCCAAATAGAGTCGCAACCAGCCTGAGTCTTCGGCAAAACCACCACGAAGTCCATGGAAATGCTCTCCCATTTCCATTCCGGAA